ATGTTAGTGAGAAATAGATATGGTTTATTATCTGTTGAAGATGACGTGTATAGTATTCTCAACTGGACTGGTCTGGGAAGTATTTCATGATGGGTGAAGTCTTTTAACAAGCAAAATGAGAAACAGTGATTGTCTGTTTTAAAAAATTATAATAATAATAGTTATTGGGAAATGCATGGAAAAGACTTTGAATGATAAAGCCGGGAGATCGATGCCTCTGTATTGACTGACATGCATGGCATTCCCTTTTGAAAAAGCAATGGAAGTCAATGTAAAGTTATATGTAATCCAATGTAATATAAAGAAGATTATGATGATAAAAAAAAAAGACTCCAAACTAATGATTTAGAAAAAAATTAAAAATTTATATACTGGTTTCAATTCTGTATTTTCTTCTCTTGACTCACATTTGTCCTTGATCTGTCTTCAAAAGGCAGAACAAATAAGTGAAAACAGAATTTTATCCACTCTAAGTCAAATACGCTAGGTGGACCTAGACTGCCACCCACAAACAGCAGAAAGAGGAAGGAGAACACTGAACAAAGATGTTTATGAACACATCAATAAAACAGACTGCTGCCCTTACTGTCCTTGCATTTACAAACCGGAGAGAAGTGCTGCTTTGTTCCCTTCACAGAATAAGAATGACACTGGGACCCACCAGGCGGCTACCACATCCCTCTCCACATTATAAAGAGTCACTGGGCCATCACCAGCTTTCTATGTGAAAACCTCACGAAAGTAGGTCATTTATGGTGGCCGAAATTAACCTCTTTGGTACAGTGTTAACTAACAGTAAGGTAAAAGGCCTTGATCTGTCATCTGAATTCAGCAGCTAAATGACAAACTCGTTACCTACTCTCTCATTAACAAATCCTTAAAGGCCAATGGCAAAGTGTTTTGTTTGATACAGGTTTTTGCCATAGGACACGTGCGCTCGCTGGAGAGACCCAGATCGGAACAGCAGAGTTCTCCACCACCTCTGCCAATCCCTCCATTTGAGCTCAAGGGGCGTGGTTTTGAAGCCACGCATCCAGGACTCGAACCTTGGTCCCCACTGTAGGTATCCAGCGTCTTAACCATCATGCCATCTCTGTGCCCCGCGAAGGCTGTTTTTAAACAGTTCCCACGAGAAACTTGGCGCGGGGCTTGGTATATCGCAGCACGCGGCAAGGTCCAGCCCGCTCCGTCAGTCCTCACGCCGCGCCGGGCCCTGGCACCACGCCATCTGCCTAGCGCCGTGTGTGAGACGGCAAGGCCAAACGCGGGAGGCCCGCGCACTCCTACCTTCTGGTAGCGTGGAGGCGACGTGGCGTGCCTCGCAGCCTGGGAACGGGCGGACCTGGTGACCACCATCCTTGCGGCTGACGCTTCCAACTTCCCAATCCCCAGCAGGCCCAGCGACTTGCGTCTGCTCTGGCGCTCCGGAAGTGCGTCAGAGAAGTGTCTCCGCGTTTTCCGTGCGGATCCCGCAACTCGCGGTAATCTCGTACTTTTCTTCACCCCGCCTCCTCGGGGCCGGAAAGCAGGAGATTAAGGTCCACAATCGCTCCGGTCATAGCTCTCACTGCAGAGATGAAAAAAGACTGTCCTTGGGACCGGCAGATGGCGTGATGGTAACGTCGCTGGACTCCGACCCAGTGGTTAAAACTCAGGCCCGGCGCGGCTAGCCATCACTCTTGAGGGGTGATTTCTCTCGTTCTGTCTCTCCGGCAAGCACACGCACCCTGTAACAAAAATCTCTCTTGAAAAAATAAAAAGGAAAAACACCAATTATTTCGGGGAAATAGACCCGCAGAAATAGAAGGCTTTCCTCTCTGTTTCACATGAACAAATTACAAAATCCTTATTAATGTAGGCTGTGGCTAAGGAAAATGTTAACATTATTTGTACTTTTCTGTTGTTAACGATAATGTTAACAACATTGTCGTGTATTATTTGAGAAGTTACATATAAAATTTAAAGATTTGGTTGGGATAAAGAGAAATGTGTTAAGTGCCTCCAAGAAACTCGGAGACTAATTAGGAAGGTATATAATCTAAATGTGAGATGGTGTTTAGAGATTGGGGAGAAATGCACATATAAAGGACAGTAATATATATTTTTTTTCTTTAAGTGAAAGGAAGAGAATGACTAGTATGAGCTTTTTTTTTTTTTTTTTCCTATTAAGGGGAAGACAAGATGTTCAAGGAGCGATGGGAAGAGATAGAAGTAAATGGAAATTAATGTTGGAGGTAAAAAAGATTAGAATACCTCACCAAAACTATTCACTTCTACTTTGTGTAACAAAGTCAGTTTTTTTCTTAGAGTCACAGACCATCAGTGACATATTGTCTTCCAACTAAATTACTCCTTTCATAGCCATCTTTGAAGCCAGATCTGGCTAAGTGACAAAATTTTGGTCAATTACATATAAACTAAGTGTTGTGTATTTCTTTTGGACATCATCTTAAAAGGGGGAAGGTCTTCCCTGACTTCTTAAACTTTACTTCTTGAAAACTTGTTTGCTAGACCACCTCAGTTTTCTCATGACATACTGACAAAATTTTAGCATTTTTTTTGCTGATAACACATGCATGTGCACACAAGAAAGGAAAGGGGAGAGAGAGAGAGCAAGTACCTTGATGGGGTCTTGTGTGGCAATAATTTTGTGCCATAAGGATGCAGACCCTACCTTACAGATTACATAGTAAGAAAGAAAAACTTGAGTCCTTGACAACTTGTGGAGCTGCTATGTTAGTCCTCAGCAGCCTCCTTTCACTTGAAAGAAACACCTTTTCTTAAGCCACTGTTATTTGGGGATTTTCTGTATGTAGCTGAGACCACTTCCATATGACGGCTTGAAGAAAAAAGAGAGATGGATGGGTTAGCAATAGGAGAATGCACCTTCCTTTGAGACAGGAAGGGTTGAGAGTTGAAGCAGAAAGGAGAATGTCTCGACAAAGAAATTCAAGTGGAAAGAAGAACGAAGAGGGAGGTTTTAATAGACCATCTTCTCCGTGAGTAGGTGATTCATTTTGGGAGAATGGAAACAGTTCAGATAGACTTGTGGGAAATGTGGTAACGAACAAAAAGAAGGAACTTTAGTAGAGCCAAATCAAAAGTGATACTGAAAGATAAACAGAAAATAGGTGAACGGTATAGAAGAAGAAAAGTGAACCAAATTGAGGTGGGCTGTGGAGATCAAAACGGCAGAGAACAACGGCATCAGCTTTAATAATGGGATTGAGCACTATCTGTTGTATGTTATTCTACGTGGCGCACATGGATTCACTCATTTAATCTTTACAATTTTAATTCGAGAAAGTACATGAAAATAGAACTTAAGGTGACAGGGGTATAGAAAATTGGGAGAATAATAGAAAATCACTCAGGTCTGTTGAACACTCAGTGTGATGATTTACCCCCTTTCAGGTTAATGACTATGTTGCTGAACTCCCATGTAGTTGACCACGGTTTGAGCCCCAGACCTGGTGGCTTAAACTCATACCGGGCGCGTGTGCGTGCATGCCCAAGATCCCGAGAGGAGAATGGAGGAGACGGGATTGTGGCATGGCTATTCCCCCTGGTGGGAGGCGATTTCTCATTTTCTGTCTCTCTGTTCCTCTCTTTTCCTGGCAAGCGCATGTGCCCTATAGCAGAAAAAAAAAAAAAAAAAAAGAAAGGAAAACCCAAAGTTTATAACCTGAAGTCCAGAAACAAAATACTAAAAATGGCCCAGCTTCAGTGGGCCAGCAGTAACACACGTGCACTGCAAGGCTGGGAGCCATGTGGCAACTGCAGATTTGGGTCCCCTGGAGGGCCTGAATACACACTGGATGCTTGTGCAGGTGTCTAGATCCTGAGGTGCTGGTGGGCTGGGGAAAAAGGATTGCAGCATGAGGAGACCCTACCAAGGTACTTTCTCTCCTTTCTTGTGTGCCCATGCATGTGCTATTGTTAAAAAATGCTAAACATGTTAGTATGCATTTTGTCAGTATAACATGATGAGAAAACTGAGGTGGTTTAGCAACAGGTCTGCTAACCATAGGCAAAAAAGTGTGCTGTTTTTGTTTTACATGATTTACCAGCTTTGCCCTGCTCTTTGCTTACCTTCTCCTTTACCAAAAGCAGATGATGAGCAAGTACAGTATATCCAATTTTAGGTAAATACAGTATAAAAATATAGTACTATTACTCAAGCCCAAAGAGAAATTCTCCCTGGGTGTATTTTATAATTAAACCCTTAAACTAAGGGTCACATCTCTTTTTGGAATTTGAGGCATTAACCAAAGATGAGGGGTTTAATACATAAGCCTTCTAAAAATATGTACTATTCATAGTAATTCTGCAATATTACATATAAAACATTACATTTAAATTAATTTGACCTGTTAGATGGTCCCCAATAATCTCATCTCGTGGTCTTCAAACCTTTTTATGTGGGCTAGACTTAATGATTTATAATGAAAGAGGCAAAAAGTATTGATTTCATCTTTAAGATTAGGTTTTAAAAAGACTGGCTTCCGGGACCAGCAGTTAGCGTAATGGCTATGTCACTGAACTCCCATGTAGCCGGCCGTGGTCCGAGTCCCGGACCTGGTGGCTTAAAACTCACGCCGGGCGCGTGTGCGTGCGTGCCCAAAATCCCAAGAGGAGAATGGAGGAGAAGGGATTGTGGCGTGGTCATGCCCCCTGGGGGGTGATTTCTTGCTTGCTTTCTCTCTCTGTCTTTGAGTGCATGTGCCCTATAGCAAAAACCTAAAAAAAAGAACACACACACACACACACATGGAATTTGAGGCATTAACCAAAGATGAGGGGTTTAATACATAAGCCTTCTAAAAATATGTACTATTCATAGTAATTCTGCAATATTACATATAAAACATTACATTTAAATTAATTTGACCTGTTAGATGGTCCCCAATAATCTCATCTCGTGGTCTTCAAACCTTTTTATGTGGGCTAGACTTAATGATTTATAATGAAAGAGGCAAAAAGTATTGATTTCATCTTTAAGATTAGGTTTTAAAAAGACTGGCTTCCGGGACCAGCAGTTAGCGTAATGGCTATGTCACTGAACTCCCATGTAGCCGGCCGTGGTCCGAGTCCCGGACCTGGTGGCTTAAAACTCACGCCGGGCGCGTGTGCGTGCGTGCCCAAAATCCCAAGAGGAGAATGGAGGAGAAGGGATTGTGGCGTGGTCATGCCCCCTGGGGGGTGATTTCTTGCTTGCTTTCTCTCTCTGTCTTTGAGTGCATGTGCCCTATAGCAAAAACCTAAAAAAAAGCACACACACACACACACACACAAAACACTGGCTTCCATTTTGCCCTTACTGTCATTTACTCTGTGGGAAGCTAGCTACATACTGTGAGCTGTCCTATGGATCAGACATGTGGCAAGGAACAGAGGGAGGCCTCTGGCTTCCAGCCAGTGAGGAATTGAGTCCTGCCAACCATGAGATGCATGCACCTGGAAGCTGGCCAACCCTCCATTAATCCTTCCAGTGTGACTTGTGGTCCTGTCTGACACTTAGCAATCTTTTGAGTAACCGAGGCATCCAGGTGCAAGATAACTAGTACAGTTGCTAGATGTCTGTTTTAAAATTTCCCGTGTCTAACTTCTTTCACATGGCATGTTTCTGAGATTCTTCCATGCCACTGTGTATATGAGTAGTTCATTCTTTGTTATTGCTGAGTCATAGTCCATTTTGTGACTGAATCACAGATGGCTTATCTATTCAACTGCTCACACACACTTATTTCTAGTTTTCAGTTATGAGTAAAAGCTGCTATAAACATTCACATGTCTTTTTTGGACACATTTTTATGTCTCTTGAATAAATACCTAGGAATAGAATCACTGAGTTATATGTTAAGTGTATGTTTAATTTTATAAGAAACGCAAGGTTATTTTTCATTTTAAATGGTTGTGCCACTTTACATTCCCATTAGCAATATATGAGAGTTGCTCTACATCCTGACAGTTGGTATTGTCAGTCTTTGATTTTTTAGTTTAGTGATACATTATTGTGATTTTAGTTGGCATTTCTCTAATGACAAATAATACTGAACAACTTTTAATGTTCTTATTGCCTATTTATATGTCTTCCTTAGAGAAGTGAAGGCTTTTTTTTTTTTTTTTTAAAAAGAGGCTTTGCCATAGGGTGTGTGTGCCTGCTGGAGACAGAGACAGTGAGAGGAAAAGTGAGAAGTCACTGCCAGGGAGGATGGCCACCTTGCAATCCCTTCTCCTCCATTCTTCTGGGATCTTGGGAAGGCACACATGTGCATTTGGTGTGATTTTTAAGCCACCAGGTTTGGGACTAGAACTGTGGTAGGCCATTTGGGAGTCTAGTGATGTAACCACTACCCCATCTGCTGGCCCCATGTCTTCTTTGGAGATGTCTATCCAAATATTTTGCCTGTTTTTTACTGGGTTGTTACTGATCTGTAAAAATTTTTTACAGGAGACCAGCAGTTAGCATCATGGCTATGTCACTGGGACTCCGATGTAGTCGACTGCGGTTTGGGTCCCAGACCCGGTGGCTTAAACTCACGCCGGGTGCATGTGCATGCATGCCCAAGATCCTGAGAAGAGAATGGAGGAGAAAGGAGTGTAGCATGGCCATCCCCCTGGGGGGTGATTTCTCGCTTTCTCTCTGTCTCTGGCAAGAGCATGCACCCTATAGCAAAAACCTCTCAAAATTTTTTACATATTCTAGATATGAAGATCTTTATTAGATATATGATTTGCAAATTTTCCCCCATTCTGTGTATTGTTGTTACACTTTCTTCACTGTGTCCTTGGCATTACAATTCTTTTTATAAAAGTGTTCTACTTATTTTTCATCAGTAATTTATATTACAAATATTTCCCACATCTACAACTTGCATTTTCTTTTTTTTGGAGAGGTTTTTGCTATAGGGCACGTGCTCGCCAGACAGACAGAGACAGAGAGACAGAAAGCGATCCCCGGGGTGGGGGGGATGGCCATCCCCGGGGTGGGGGGGATGGCCACGCCGCAATCCCTTTTCCTCCATTCTCCTCTCGGGATCTTGGACACGCATGCACATGTGCCTGGCATGAGTTTAAGCACTGGGTCCAGGACTTGAACAGCAGTCGACTACATGGGAGTCCAGCGACATAGCCATTACGCCAACTGCTGGTTCCACATTTTTGTTTTTTTTAAATGTCTTTCAAAGAACAGAGTATTTTAAGTCTAGTTTATCAATGTTTGCTTTTATTTTTTGTATTAGTCAGTTTTTCTTAATTCTATATACATCAAAATCAATTAAAAATTTTCAACTAAAAAAAGTGAACAGAGATAAAAACATTACGAGAGAAGGAAATCTGGATCTTTATTAGCAAGAGCATATATGCTGGAAGTCAGTGGAATGCTATTCAAGTTGCTGCAGCAAAGTATTTGGGAATTTAGAATTCTATAATGCCAAATGATTATTTGAGTGCAAAATACAGGCACTTCAAGTAGGACCTACAAAGTTTACTACTGTACCAAAGAGCTTTAGTGAAATTACTAAGGACAAACTTAAGCAATAAATAATAGAATGCAAGAATCAACAGTGAGCAAAGAAACAGGGAAAAGTGAGCTGACTTCACATAAGTAATGCTTATTGTAAAATATAAACCTGATTTGGACCAGTAGATGGTATAATGGTTATTATTGCTGGACTCCCACGTAGTCAACTATGGTCCAAGTCCCATACTGGTGACTTGAAACTCATGCCAGGTGCGTATATGTGCGTGCCCAAGATCCTAAGAGAATGGAGAAGGGATTGCTGCATGGCCATCCCCCTTGGGGGGTAATTTCTTACTTTCTGTCAGATTCTCTCCAGCAAGTGCACACGCCCTATAACAGAAATCTCTCCAGAAAAAAAAAAAAGTGTATATACACACACACACACACACGCACACGCACCCTTTATTAGAACAATGGACCAGTAAACACACCACACTCTTGTATGGCATCTTACACATTTCTCACTGCTTAGGAAACACATTAAAAGTTTTGTTTGGGGGCTGGTAGGTGGCATGGTGGTTAAGGATGCTGGATTCCTACATGGTCGACGATGGTCCAAGTCCCATACCTGGCAGCTTGCTTTCTCACTTTACCTCTCTCTCTCTCTCACTCTGTCCATCTCTGGTCAAATTAAAATAAATATGGTTGAATACAATCTTTAAAAAAATGTTTTGTTTGACTTCTCTGGTAGTGGAACTACATATGGCCATATTATCCTGATATATTTAGGGGAGTCAGGAAGGTTCTAATCTCATTTACACAATGTGACTTTCTTAGACTTATCTACTCCTGAAAGAAGCTATTCTCTTCTATCTAAGAAGTTTTTGAACAAGGTCTTCATTTAATTTCTAAAGTTTACATATAAACTACTTCATCATTCAATAAAAGCATATTTACCAACCAGGCAAACAAGGACCCATGCCCAGAATCACTGCATCTTTTCTTTTGACACTACTATAAAGCAATTTCTTCAGGGAGTCTTTAGTATCCTTACCCTGCTAATCTGTCCCACTTCTTTCCACATGCCCCCAATCCTTTTTACCACTTCTTTCATTGACACAATGGATTATACAGCCTTTTACTGCTCTTATTCATGCACAGATCTCACTTTCCCCTGCAAATATAGCCATGCCATTATATAAGTACATCTTGCTTAACAATGGACTACATATATAACAAAACCATCCCGTAAGATTCTAATACCTTGTGTGTGTGTGTGTATGTGTGTGTATATATATATATATATATATATATATATATATAGTATAGTGTAGGTGCATAATAGGCTATCCCATCCAGGTTTGTGTAAGTACTCTCTATGATGTTTGCATGACAAAATCATTGAATGACTCATTTCTCAGAATGTATCCGTCTTAAGAGACTCATGACTATTATATGCTCCTTGAACATGGTGTATTTTTCATCTCTGTGTCCATCTATAGCACCTTGCACAGTGTCTAGCTCATAGAAGTCATTCAATAAACCTCATTCAATGAAGAGCTTTATGACTTAGATATTTAAAAACCTGTAATTTATTTTCAAATCATACTCAGTTTGAATTCAAATATTTCAAAATCAATATAATGCTTCAGGATGCTTCCAACTATTGAAACAACTCAATTAAAAATATATATACATTCACACTTTAGTTAAATTTGTAATATAGGTAAAATTAAAAACTATTGTAAATATTTAATAGTGTCTTATATTTTGCTTTTAACTTATAGTCAACCATTATAGACACATAGAAAAAGCAGAATTATCTAATTAAAACATTTTCCCTTCCTAAGGTGTGTTTGTAATTCTGAAAACTATAAAAATATTATTAATAGTCATGTTACATATTTTAAAAAAGAAAACCAATTTATCCCATCACCAACTTTACTAGAAAAAGACAGATACAAATTCTGGTACATTAGGAAGTTAATGATGAAAAAGAGGTTCAAAATTATAAGCTGGTATATTTGGGTATAAAAACAAAAAACTCAGATGCTTTAAGTGTTCATGAAAAGTTTCATATTTCTCTAAATGTGGATTTGGCAGAAAGATGAAAACTCATTTTATATTGGCTGACAATATATGGAAAATATGGAAAATACTGGGTGAAAAATCTTGAGAAAATATTTTATAGAGATGTAACTGAGCCTCAGATCTTTTATAACTGAACATTAAGATCCTAATCTTAGGGGCTAGCAGGTGGCATGGTGGTTAAGGGTGCTGAACTCCCACATGGCCGACTATGGTTCGAGTCCTGGACCTGGCAGTTTGTATTCTCACTTTCTCTTTCTCTCAGTCACTCTAAAATAAGCAAATAAATAATATTAAATAAAAATAATTATTAAAAAATAGTTCTCATCTTAAAAAACAAAAAACAAAAACCTAACTTTAGCTATGACACTGTTCTAGTATGGAAAAGCCTGAACCATTCATGGACAGAATAACTTGTTTCCCATTTTAAATAGCTATACAAATTATTTTTTGAGAACTGAAAAAATTTAACTATTATTGTAACTCAAGTTCTAGCACTGGCCACTCCTAAATGGATATGGTATTAATGTAGTAGTGCAATGTGGTCTTCAGACTTCATACAATGTGAATATATTTCGTAAGACACCTTGATTCTTCTGGTGCCCAGTTTCCTAGATGGGAAATCAAGATAGATTCATCAAGGAACAAATTCTGAGTTACAGTTCATTGCGTTAAGTAATGTTCCAGTGTGTTTTGGAAATGCAGTGACAAGCTACATCATCTTTTTGTATTTACTGGAAAAGTAATTATCGGAACTCTTTCTACATTGGGGTCGGATTCACACTTTCTGAGAAAAGATATGTTATGTACACTATTGATAACTTAGCTTTCAGGTTTTATTTTTTTTTAAAGCATTTATTTAGTAGTATCACCAGTCTTTATTTTATGGCTTTTTAGACATTAGGTCCTTAAATGTCTGATAAGTATTCACTATGTTTTGATAGTTTATGAAAAAAACAGTAAGATGTGGACATCAGCTTGAAAAATTAAGTCATTTTTAAAAAATATCAGTTTTTTAAAAGTTGTTCAATAACAAATTCAGGGCAGAAGTGAAACAAAAAAATCATTAACAATCCCTTTCTCAAATCTACATTCCTGTTTTGTCAAGAGTGGAGGGAAGAAATTATGAAAAAGCTCCTGCCCAAAGGATATATTAATATTGTAATTTTTTCCATTTTCAAAATAAGCTTCAAAAAATCCATTTTTATAAGCATAGGGTTTTAAAAATCAATAAATGTGATACCATAGTTCTCTCTTAAAGTACTATCTTGGCCAGATTTAAAACAAAATGATTATTTGTTTAAGGACTTACATGTGATATGTCAAAATGTCTATTTCCAAATTAAAATTTTAACTATATCTAATAACATACACAATATAATGGCCAGGTGACTTTAATAAGCTCAGAGTCAGGGACCAGCAGTTAGCGTAATGGCTATGTCACTGAACTCCCATGTAGTCAATCGCGGTTCGAGTCCCAGAGCCGGTGGCTTAAACTCACGCCAGGCGCATGTGCGTGCATGCCCAAGATCCTGAGAGGAGAATGGAGGAGAAAGGATTGTAGTGTGGCCATCCCCCTGGGGGGTGATTTTTCTCTTTCTGTCTCTCTGGCAAGCACACGCACCCTATAGCAAAAAACCTCTCCAAAAAAAGAAAAAAAAAGCTCAGAGTCAGACAAGTTTTAGCAAATAAATCAACTGACTTCATGTTATAATTCTAATGATCAAATTATCCAATCAGTAAACCACAAAATCTTACTTAGGAAAAGGGTCTACTGTATTTATTCTAAATATGAAACTATAGTCCTTTTCCCTAAGTTGAGAAGACTTGGGCAAATTAGATTTATATAAGCCTGTGGTTTTTAAAATACTGAGATACAAGTAATTCTTAAAGAATTTTTAAAATCACTTGCGTTACAGGTAAAAATTTATAGACTTAAGGAAACCTACAGTATATATATCAAAGGTCACAGCTTATTAGTTGCAATTTTCTGGTTCTTAAACTATATAAGGATAGATATGAAATGATTAAAGATTTTTTTCACCTCTTTTCTGGCTTTTAGTCCCTCAGTTATAGTGGACAACAAGTATCACCTATATCACTCAAGTGATTTTTAACCCAGGGTTCTGTGCCCTCTCCTGTCTCCAGAGCCCACAATGCCGAGCATATGGTAAGTGCTTGAGACTTATTGCATGTTTTTGAATGAGCAGCAATATGCTAAGGATGGATCAAGTTTAAAAATGAATCTGAAGGTGACAGCAATTGCTTTTATAAAACCCCCAAACAATAATTTCAAAGCTTCTAATCTTTTCAGATTTACTTTGGTTTGTCTCTATAAGTAAGAGGAAGAGAAAATATGGCACAAAAATATATGGGAAATCATTGCAACTAAACTACAAGCAAGGACACATTAAAAAAATTTAAGCTTCCATTCATATATTGAAGAGTGAATTTTATTTACACACCTAGTAGATCCCAGCTACTCCAGTTACTCTGAAATGCAACTGTTTTTAATAATGACAGGAAAAATATCTTCCAGTATTTCAGTTTTAACAATTATAATTAAATTGCTTAGTTATACTATAGAGTAAGAAGCAATTAATGATTTTTTTTGAAATAAAAAATATGTATATATTTCACCCTGATGCCTAGGCCAAAATATATCTAACAACAAATTTTCTTGATTTCTATTAGTCATAAAAATAAGGAGAAAATATACTGCAAGTATTTTCTTTATAGGAAATTTCAATTAGAAAACAATAGTTTAATGGAAACAATACAGTGGCTCATATGAGTGGACTGATATGGAGGCAAGAGAAGTATTTGAAACTTGACAGACAACATACTGTCAAATATAACTAAAGAGTATCTGCCTCTATGGCACCATTTACAGGCAGTAACTAGATTTTTACACACCTCAATTTTATCTTAAATTCAAAGGAAATACAGGTCAGTAGGTTAGGAACCTAAGTTGTAGTTAGGAACCCCTTCTTTTAGCTTGTAAAATGTAGCCTTTTGATTTGATAATTCCTCTACTTTTCACAATGACAGAATATCGCAGCAGCCACAGGGGCACCCACTCCTGTGCTTCAATGTCAGGGATGCTTTCCTGAAGGGCTTCTTGGAAACTTGCTTCAGAAAGAAGTTCTAAAACAAACAACAACAAAACCCCCAAGTGTTAAATTAGAAACAGATGCACTTTACCATGTAGGTAAGTATTTATATACAACAAAAGAAACATCTCAAAACAGAATATTAAAAAATATGCTTATAAAAAAGGTGTTAAGTTATGAAGTTGAGCCAGAATATTGTTGAGGATTACAGATAATCTCTCTAAGGTATTCAGCAAGATGCCTGGCCTCCACAGAACTTTAACTATTAAAACTCTTCTTCCTGGGGCAGGCAGGTGGCGTGGTGGTTAAGAGTATGGGACTGCCACATGGCTGACCACCATTCGAGTTCTGGACCTGGCAGCTTGCTTTCTCACTTTCCCTCTCTCTCTCACTCACTCTGTCCCTCTCTCGTCAAACTAAAATAAATAAATAAATAAAGTTAAATAATTAAAAACAATAAAAAGAACTCTCTTTCCTTCCACCCCTCTTCCTCTGATAAAACAGTGAAAAAATAAACAGAGACTACTACTAAAAAATAGTAGACTTTGGTACCAGCAGTTGGCATAATGGCTATGTTGTTAGATTCCCATGTAGTTGATCGCAGTTCGTGTCCCAAACCCAGTGGCTTAAACTCACACTAGGTGCGTGTGTGTGCGTGCGAGCCCAAGATCCCGAGAGGAAAACAGAGAAGGGATTGCAGCGTGGCCACCCCCCTGGGGGGGAGGGATGATTTCTTGCTTTCTGTCTCTCTGTCTCTCTCTTTCTGGTGAGCGCACGTATCCTATAGCAAAAACCTCTCCAAAAAAAAAAAAAAAATTCTCTTCCTTATCCTTCTACAAAAGGCAGACAAGTCACTGTCATTAGTCAAACAGTGTTCTTGACTGATACCACTGATACCAAACGTATGTCTTGATAGTAATGATTAATAAAATATCTAATAAATTACCTGTCCTAATATGCTTATTAAGTTTTATATTAAATTACATCTGCTCTTTTTTTCAGATATTTATCCTATTTAATTAAGTAACTCTTATGTCTAATCTTTGCTGTACTAGACAGGATTTTATATATATTAATATTTAGAATGCTTTAAAAGATCTTTTCTGTGTAATCTAATAATTGTAAACCTTAACGGATCAAATGTTTGTGAAATGATCTCACTTTTCCCCCCATTAGTATAAAGATAAAAATAAAGCTTTCTGAAAATACCATAAAGATATATATATTTTGAACTAGCTATTATGAACAGTTTTAGATGGAACCAGCAGATGTGTAATGGTTATGTTGCAGGACTACCTCCTAGTTGACCACGGTTCGACTCCTGAATCTGGCGGCTTAAAACTTACTCTGGGAGGGACCAGTAGTTAGCGTAATGGCTATGTTGCTGGACTCCCATGTAGTCGACTGCAGTTCAAATCCCGGACCCGGTGGCTTAAACTCACACTGGGTGCTTGTGTGTGCGTGCCCAAGATCCCGAGAGGAGAATGGAGGAGAAGGGATTGCGGCGTGGCCATCCCCCTGGGGGGGGGGGGTGACTTCTTGCTTTCTGTCTCTCTCTGTCTTCCTGGCGAGCACATGTGCCCTATAGCAAAAATCTCTCCATAAAAAAAAAAAAAAAATCACTCTGGGAACATGTGCGTGCGTGCACATGTGCACCTATGTGTGCCCAAAATCCCAAGGAGAATGGAGGAGAAGGGACTCTGGCGTTGTTATCCTTGCTAGCAGGATAATTTCTTGCTTTCTCTCTGTCTGAGTCTGTCTATCCAGTGAGCACATGTGCCCAGGAGCAAAAATCTCTCTCTCAAAAAAAAAAAGTTCTAGGGAACCAGCAGTTAGCATAATGGCTATGTCGCTGGAATCCCACGTAGTCGACCGTGGTTTGCGTCCCGGACCCAGTGGCTTAAAAAACTCACGCCGGCACATGTGCGTGCGTGCCCAGGATCCCGAGAGGAGAATGGATTGCGGCGTGACCATCCCCCCTGGGGGGTGATTTCTCGCTTTCTGTCTCTATGTCTCTCTCTCTCTGTCTGTCTGGTGAGCACACGTGCCCTATAGTGAAAATCTCTCCAAAAAAAAAAAAAAAAGTTCTAGAAACAGCATTGTATACTTATTACTGCATACATTTAAAATGAAACTTCAACAAGCATCTTTGTAAGAAAGCTCATGATCAATCTCTATAAATGAAAATAACAGTTTTACCTTTTGGATCATTATGAGTCAAGAGCTGTATGTCAAATTGTTTAGCAAATGCAGTCAAATCAGGTGGCATCACACAGCAGGAGGCCAGATTAACTTGGTTACTATTTGGTTTAACCTAGAAATGAAAATAAAATCATGGTATGTCTACTAAATTCAGTAACATGAAAAGTAGAAAGCAGTAAAAGCTTTATTTTAGAATATATGAAACATCACATTCTATAATGCTTCAAGTGTACAAAATAGTTTTACATGAATATCTTAATATCTGCTTTTTTAAACCACATTAGTGGCTACAGGGAAAAGGAAAAATAGATCTAGGAAGAGGAAAAAACTGATAAAGCACTACACTATTAAAAAGGCTCCTGCTAGAACCACTTAACCATCTAACACATCTGTCCCAGAAACAAACATGACTCTCTGATGGTTTCAGCTACAGAAGGAATAGAAAGGGAGGGGCAGAATATGTCTTAAAGGCATTTAGAGGATCAAATACAACTAAATACATCTAACTAAATATAAAATATGGCTATTAATCAGATATGTTTTGAAAGAGGAATTTATAACTTCCAATAGTTGCATTGGTTAATATGTATACATTCTGGATCACTGGCCACATTTTGGCTATCACCAAGTCAATGGGAGAAAGGGCAACACTTTACAGTTTTCCTCTCCATAAGAAACTGAAAGTTCTGAAAATCAGGCTGTGGACTGGCCAGCCCTAGTGGTTAAGAAAGCTGGATCCCACATGGCTGGCCAGGCTGTTTGAACCCTGGCCCTGGCAGCTTGAAAAACATGCCAGGTATGTGTGTTTAGGTCCCCAAATCCTGACAGTTGGACAAATATCGAAGAGATTGGGGAGTTGTGCCTTCTCCCTCTCCCAAGTTTCACTGTGGTAAGCACAGCTGTCTTCTGACCAATTTAAAAAAATAACAGGGCTAGCTGGTAGAGTGGTGGTTAAGACAGCTAGATCCCATATGCCGATTGTGTGGTTCAAGTCCTGGACCCAGCAGCTTGAAAAACATGCTGGGTGTGTATATGTGCATGCACAAAATCCCAAGAGAAGGGAGGAGAAGGGATTGTGGCATGGCCATCACCCTGGGGAGTAATTTCTTACTTTCTCTCTCCCTCTCCCTCTGCTTTCTCTGGCAAGTGCACATGCCCAATAGAAAATTTTTTTTATTAAATTAAAAACAGGGAACCAGCAGTTAGCGTAATGGCTATGTTGCTGGATTCCCACGTAGTCGACCACGGTTCGTGTCCCGGACCCGGTGGCTTAAAACTCGCACCGGGCGCATGTGCGTGCGTGCCCAAGATCCCGAGAGGAGAATGGAGGAGAAGGGATTGCGGCGTGACCATCCCCCCTGGGGGGGGATTTCTCGCTTTCTGTCTCTATGTCTCTCTCTGTCTGTCTGGCGAGCGCACGCGCCCTACAGTGAAAATCTCTCCAAAAAAAAAAAAAAAAAAACAGAAAAAGGTTGAGGATGAAGTAAAAGGAATAATAGGAAATGCAGAAAGTAAAGGTAAAATGGCACTACAGTAGCTCTCCCTCCCTTTATCTGTGGTTTTAGTTACCTTTGGTCAATAATGGTCTTAAAATAGGTGAGTACAATTCAATAAGGTATTTTTTAGATACAGAAATCACATTCACGTAACTTTATTATTATACTATTATAATTATCCTATTCTGGGACCAGCAGATGCCATAATGGTTACATCGCTGGACTCCCACAAGGTCGACGATGGTTCAAATTCCAGGCCTGGCAGCTTTAAACTCATGCTGAGTGCATGTGTGTGTGTGCCCAAAATCCTGAGAGGTAACTGAAGAAGGGACTGCGGCATGGCCATCCCTCCCTGGGGTGTGTGTGTGTGATCATTTCTTGCTTTCTGTCTCTTTTTCTTTCTTTGGCGAGCACATGCACCCTTATGCAAACTCTCTAAAAAAATAATAATTATCCTATTCCATTATTATTGTTATTTATCTTTTACTGTGCCTAATTTATGAATTGAACTTTATTGTAAACACATTATATACAGGAAAAAAACATAGTATGTATACGTTTCCCGTATGCAAAACAAGTCCTCAAATAAATCCTGTGGAAACTTCCATAATAAATTTTGTAGATTATCAGACCAGAGGGTGCGGGTGATTAGTTTACGACATTGATCCCATATTAAGTTATATGAACTAAGAGTCTTACATGTCTTTAAATATTTGTTATATATAATATTCCCTTAATTGAGAAACTAGATTTATAGCCTAGTAACACTTAAGAAAATATAAGGTTTTTATCACATAAGTAAAACTGAAGGGAATTATTCATTTGTCTAGGAATATATCAAAACACATTTTCTTTTTTAAGGAATTACTTTATTTTACTTTATTTTATTTATTTATTTTAATATGACCAGAGAGGGACAGAGTGAGACAGAAAGAGAAAGAAAGTGAGAAAGCAAGTCACCAGGTCCAGGACTCAAACTGCAGTTGGCCACGTAGGAGTCTAGTGCCCTTAACCACCAGGCCCCCTGCCGGCCCCCAAAACACATTTTCTAAAATGTTTTAATCACTCATTTTAAATGGGATTAGTATTTTGTTCAATTATATATATATATATATATAAACATTTTTTCTCAAAACCCCAAACCCCATGGCTTCATATAAAGCCTGCCTCAAAACTCCCACATCTGGAATAGGCACCCCAGTGAGTGTCCCCTAGGGCATGATGCCCAACAGCACAGTGCAGACGGAAAAGGCAGGTCCCCAGAGTGCTCACCATCTAGCCATCCTTTACCTGTGCCCACTGATACAGCTGTTCCAGCTGTGTTTTGTCCAGATCAGAGGTACCTATAGCAACAATCTTTTTGCTCTGAACTAAGTTTTCTAATTCCTCCCAGTAAGGCTGTAAGTGCTCCAAGGAGAGATTAACCCCGTCTTCAATGGGAGGCGACGCAATGATCACAGAGTCCAGCTGTGCAACTCCAAGGACTGAACAGGCTAATGGGAAGAACACAGAGAGCATCAATGTTAATAAAAACATAATAAAAACAAACGGTGCAAATGTACTCAAAGTATCCCACTGAGTTCTGTCCATATCATTTACTAGTTTTCTATATAGGATACATTATTTTATAATTTACCTTTCATTTCAAACATTTCCATGTATTAAAAATGTGTAGGTATTTATTCACCTCTGTGTGGCAAGCAAGGAGGTTCCTTTGACCTGCCTTCTTCCTAGGGATCTTAGAGCTACAGCAGGTTCCTCTTTTAAGGGAATGGGCTTCCTGCTTATTTCCTAAGCCACAGGATTTTTTGGTTAGCTCCTATATCATCCTAAAATTTTCTCCTCCTGTTCTACTTGCTCACTGTATCTTAAATGGATGATCACAAGAACTCTGACCTAATATTCTGTAGTTGGTAGTCATGGCAAAGTTAAACCTGAGACTCTGAAAAACTAAATGTATAGTCTTAATCTGTATTTACACAAGTAGACAATTTCTTAATTTCCATGAAGATAACTTAAGAGTTTATTTTAAGCGATTATATTCCATCTACATTAGGGAGCCAGTTATTTAAGTTTCAAACATGTAAAATAAATACTGGAAGAATTTTTAAAAGTCCTGATAACTGTAATACTATAATAACCTAACCAAATGCCAAAAATAGATATGAAATATAATGGTGGTGGTGTTTTGTTATTTTATTTATAATATTATAGGGCTGAGAATAAACATTTGACCCTATCTACATCAATATGATTCTATAGAAGCCTTAAGAAATTGGCTAGAACTTTAACATGGAAATCAGCTCATTTTCTTTTTTTACCTTAATATGAATATAAGTTATAACTAACATACCTACACTAATTTAAAGTCTATTATTAAGGCCAAAAGTGAAATTTTTGCTTACCCATGTCAACTGCATTTCTAGTTGATGATGAAGAGTTTGATCCCACAATGAACAGTTTTGCTAGGTAAGAACATAAAACAAATTACTACATGTAGATACACATTTTACTACATTGCTAGAATACTAAGATGACAATCCTAAATGCTATTTTTTCCTTTCCTCCTCCTATAATTTTACAGACACAAATTTTCTTGCACAGCGTTTCTTATAGCTGTCCCTTCTTTTCTACTGCTGATAATCTTCCTAAAGCACTGCCTTCCTCACGTTACTCCCCCAGTGAAATTCCATCATAACTCCCTTGCCAAATGAGAGTTAATATTTACCATTTTGGTTTAACCTTAGCTCCCACAATTACACTCTAGGAAAACCTTCCCCACCATTATTCCCATCCATGAATTTGCACTATCTGAAACGGCCTCCTCTCCCTCAAAGATAAGGCCATTTTAGATAGGTATAAATAAGAAAGTTGTTCATATGGAGAGAATTTTTACACCCATTGAAATGTCAAGCCCAGGGCTAGCAAGTGGTGTGGTGGTTAAGGCAGCTGGATTCCCATGTGGCCAACTGTGGTTTGAGTTCTGGACCTGGTGGTTTGAGAATCATGCCGGGCGCATGTGCATGCCTGCCTAGCAGTCCAAGAAAAGAATGAAGGAGAAGGTATTGCGGCATGGCCATCCCCCTGAGGGGTGTGATTTCTGACTTCCCTCTTTCTGTCTCTGTCTCTCTTCTCCAGTGAGCACATGTGCCCTGAGGCAAAACCTAAAAAAACAACAACAACAAAAAAAAAACCAACAAAAACTCAAGCCCTACAGGCAGTGAGGACAACTTGTAAGAGATCCAAGATGGATCTACATCATATGAATTACCATCAACCACAAAAGAACACTGTTTTTACTTCCTTTCCAACAGTCATGTGAAATTAACAGGAAGAAATGGGTTTGCAAGCACTTACTGGCTGTGTGGCAACTTTCAAGCTATTTAATGTCACTAGTGCAATGGGGATAACAGGCCTACCTTGCAGGACTGTTCTGGGAATTATAGAAAGAAATATAACAATAAAGTACCAAGTATAGTGCCTGATATGAAGCAAGATTTGACGAATAGTAATTTTTATTAACACAATCAAAAGACAAGGTCCTATCTCACCTTATGCTTCCACCTCAGTAACAATAACAACATAGCAACAACCATGACAGTAACAATATAGTAGTAAATAATGGCTACCTAGCATTAACTTATGGCAGGCACTGTGCTAAGTACCGCTTCTGTCATTTCATCCTTTTTAAAATTTTTTTGGAGAGGTTTTTGCTATAGGGTGCATGCGCTCGCCAGACAGATAGAGACAGAGAGACAGAAAGCGAGAAATCGCCCCCCAGGGTGGATGGTCACGCCACAATCCCTTCTCCTCCATTCTCCTCTTGGGATCTTGGGCACGCACGCACACGCGCCCGGCGTGAGTTTAAGCTGCCAGGTCCAGGACTTGAACTGCAGTCGACTACGTGGGAGTCCAGTGACAGAGCCATTACGCTAACTGCTGGTCCCATCATTTCATCCTTTTTATAAGAAAACTGTGAAACAGATACATTCCCCATTTATATATGAGGAAACTAAGGCTCTGCAATATTAAATACTTTGTTAAAACAGGATTAAAACAGCTAATAATGTACACACATAAGAATTTCAATCTAGTCGAGCTCAAGTTTTTTCTTTTTTAATGTTTATTAATTATTCCTTCTGTGAGAGGCAGTAACGGAATGGGGGGGGGGAAACGGTAACGGAATGGGGGGGGGGAAAGAGAGTGAGTGTGTGTGTGTGTGTGTGTGTGTGTGTGTGTATGTTTGAGAGAGAGAGAGAGAGAGAGAGAGAGAGAGATGGACAGGCACCCCACAGGGCTTCATGACGTTCTCCACTCTGTCTCAGCCAGCCCGGATCATGGGCACATCTGCATGCACCACCAGTGTGTGTACAGAGGCTTCTGTATGCAAACCTGGCACCTTCCTGTGCGGGTCAGTTGCATTACCGCTGCACCACCATCTGGGCCCAAGCACAAGCTTTTAATGGCTATGCTCTGCTCACTGAAAGCGGAGGGCAAGAGGAGCACATCTTCTCATTTTTGTTTCCGTTGAGCCTAGTGCAGTTTCTGGAATGTAGTAATCACTCACTACACTTACTGAACGAGTATAAAATGTCTTTTCTTTCTGTCCATGAAGCTTGTAATCCAGACTTGTTTCTATACTCCCAGGCCACCTCAGTCATTGCTTCCCAGTATTCAACCAGAAAGGGAGGGCCTAGGCTAGATTTGGGGTAGATGCCACTCTCTCAGCCTCCCTTCATCCTTCCTATTTCCTTCACCTTTATCTTTCTACTGCTCTGAAGTCTGACCCATAAATTACATGACATGACACAAGAACACTATGAACAGCAGGTTCAAATTTTATTCTGACTTCACTGAAATAGCTAGCACTGACTTCCCTCTTAGAGTTGACATCAGAATTATATTTAAAAAGAATATTTTAGTGACTGAACCACTCATTACAGGAAGTAAAGAAAGGCTTATTCCTATGGCTGACAAAACCTCACTATTGTTTCCACTGCAAGACAAAATGAATTGTAAAGGCTGGACTTTACCAGAAACTTTCATTTCTTCTCTTTCTTCAGGATTTATCTTTTCTACTGCATGAGATACAGTGCACTCCAAGACATCTGGAAACTCCTGTAACAAACACATATTTACCATAAATATAAAATTAATGTTTCTGATTAATTATAAATTTTCAATCCATAATGCCCTTTAGAAGCAGAGACTCATAAGACAACAGGGTTCTTTACCTGAGGTCTGCATGGGCTTCACATGGGTTTTAAAGTCCAGAAATACAGTAAAATTCACTGTGTATGGATGTGTGTTAGTGTACATAGCTGTTTTCTAGGGAAAAGTGTTTCACTTTGATCAGGTATTCAGAGGGATTCATGATTAAAAATATTTAAATTTAAAAAATAAGCAGGGGGAGAGGTATGTGAGAAGTTAGGACCAGTAGCACAGTAGATAATTTTACTTTTTTTTTTTTTTTTTTTGCCATAGGTTGTGTGCCATAGGTCTTTCCAGAGAGAGATAGGGGGAAAGTGAGAAATCACCCTCCAGGGGGAAGAACACACCACAATCAGTTCTTCTCCATCCTCCTCCTGGGATTTTGGGCACGTGCATACATATGTCTGGTGTGATTTTCAAGACACTAGGTCCAGGACTCAAACTGCAGTCAGTCATGTGGGAGTCCAGCTACCTTAACCATAGCTGGCCCTGATAATTTTACTTTTAAAATAAACCAACCAAAAATAACAATCCATTCAGACAGCACTCCCAACAGGTGTGACCCACCCCTAGGCTCAGCCAGTCTCAGATAGAGGACACGGGCATCTCCAGAGTACTCAGGGAGGTCTCCAGACTGAAGCCCAGAAACTTCCCACGTGGGTCAGCCTTGCAGAGCATTGCATTTTAGTCACGTCTTACCACTGCACCAGCAATGGCCCCTTCCTCGTGATTCTCGGCCACATTACAACGCCTAACACATACCAAGCGTTCTATGTTTACAAGTGCATAAACAGAATAAATGGCCATTACAGAGAAACAGATTGATAAAAGGCATTATTAATGTATGCATGGCAGTTATAAGGTTATAAAATTACAAAGGGAAGTTTCCCAGGGAATACAAGTATTTCTGGCACATGTACTTACTTCATTTTAATGCAGTCTATATAATGTGATAGGAGCCTTTGGCTGAATTCCATTTCAAAGGCTGGTTTGCAGATACTGTTTTGTATACTAACATGATGATAACCATATGTGACATTTAATGCAACATAGTTCCTTATGGTTTCATCAGAAATTGCCATTTGAAAATTTATTTCTAGTGACATTACTGGGGTGATACACTGTCAAAGCAATCTACCAGTCACCTGATAATCATTCCTGTAGTAGGTCAAATATAAGAACATAGGTCAAATATAAAATATAAAAATAAAATATTGATGAGGATTAAGCAGAAGAATCCTGGTGTCTTGTCTTTTTGGAAAGTTGACCAGAGTCCGGATTTTCTGTTTTCTGCTTCAGCCTACTAGGTCAAACTGCTATCTCAGCACATCAGCCAGCAAGAGGTTTACAGCTAATTGCCTACTGACTTCCCTCAAAAACATTAAGGAAATTAACTGCCTGCTTACTTCACTTTCCCCTTGACCTGCATAATGTTTGTATTCACATTTCACTTACCCTGACCAAATCTGGGTTGATTTGGGAACTCCACTCATTCAAGGTCTTTTGAATACAATCTCGAAGCTGCAAAAGGAATGCATTTTGAAACTGTTAATCAAACTCTATACACGTTTTGTACTTTGACAGTAATATATAGTTTGATAGTTAAGCAGGAAAAAAGATCCCAATAGAAAATACCACAAACCCCCAATTTTAACTGTAGAAGGTCTTCGCTTCCTTTAACATAGTTAAATTTGACCTGTTTTTATCCTACTTAGTTCTCAGATGTTCTTGACCTAAAGCAGTCGTCTTAATTATTTTTAATGTGTTTTTATACTAGTGAAAATTTACATAAACTTTTGAGAGCATAAAATATTCATAATAATTCTTAAAAAGAAGAAAAAAGAAAGTGTTTTTAAAGAATAAGGTCTAGGGACTGGCAGGTGGTATGATGGTTAGGGGTATTGGACTCCCGCATGGCTAACCATGATTCGAGTCCCGGACCTGGAGGCTTGCTTTCTCGCTTTCTCTCTCTCTGTGTCTTGCCCTGGTCAAATTAAAGATAACAATAATGATAAATAAAATAAAGGAAATCATTCTCAAAAAAAAAAAGAATAAAGTCTATAAACAGAAGAACTTGGATTCAAGCCATGGACCATCTGACTGGAATCTATACTGATCATCATGCTACATTCCTCAAAGATAAATAAATGATACAGAGTAAGTGTGGCCAGAGAAACTTCGACATCAGATTCATTTGTGGCATTTATTAAAAATTCAGGGGCTAGCCTCATCCATAGCACAGCAGTTAAGTGTTGTGCATGGAAAGCTGGATCCCAAATGGCTGACCATGGTATGAATCCTGGCCTCAGTGGCTTGAGACACTGAGAAATGGAGGAAAAGGGATTGTAGTGTAATTGTGCCCCACTGGGGAGAAGCTTTCTCGCCACTCCCTCTCTCTCTCTCTGGCCAGTGCATGTATGTACCCACTAACAAATTTCAAATGAAAAAATCAGGTTCCTGAGCCAGATCCTCGACCTGCTGAATCTCTCTCCAAGAGCAGCCAGACTTCCACTTTAACAAGCATACCAGGGAATCACTGAGTATTCTAAAGCCTGAGATTCACCAAGACAGACATAGCTTTCAGAAGTCAACTTCCTAACGGCAGTCCACAAGTCACTCCCTAATACCCCAATCTGTCTTCAATACTGTTTTTGTTTGTTTGTTTGTTTGTTTTTAATAGTGTCACTGGGGAAAGACAAAGTGGTTTTTTTTTTTGGACAGGTTTTTGCTATAGGGTGCGTGCACTTGCCAGAGAGACAGAGAGAGAAAGTGAGAAGTCACCCCCTGGGGGGGATGGCCACGCCGTAATCCCTTCTCCTCCATTCTCCTCTCAGGATCTTGGGCACACACGCACACACGCCCAGCATGAGTTTAAGCCACTGGTCTGGGACCCAACCATAGTTGACTACATGGGAGTCCAGCAACATAGCCATTACGCCAACTGCTGGTCCCCAGAAGTTTTTTTTTTTTTAAGAGTTATTTATTTAACTTTATCATTACTACTTTTAAAAAAATTTCGAATGCACCATCACCAGGGAGAGACACAGAGAGAGAGAAAGCAACGTTCGGGGCTTGAACTGCAATGAGCCATGTGGGAGTCTAGTGCCTTAACCATTACGCCACCTGCTGGCCCCTTCAATACTGTTTTAAATGAATGAACATTTTTATACAAATATTATAGTATGTTGTAAACTCATTAAGATGTTATTCATTGAGACCAGCAGATGGCATAATGGTTACATTGCTGGACTCTCATATGGCCGACTGCAGTTCAAGCCCTGGACCTGGAGACTTGAAACTCACACTGGGCATGTGTGCATGCATGCCCAAAATCCTGAGAGGAGAATAGAGGAGAAGGGACTGTGGTGTGTGGCCATCTGCCCTGGGAAGTGATCTCTGGCTTTCTGTCTGTCTCTGTGTCTCTCTTTGGCAAGCGTACACACACTATAGCAAAAATTTCTCCCTTAAAAAAAAAGAAAAGGTTATTTTTATATCTCTTGTGTAAGTATCTTTCTGAGTTATTTGATAGTGGTTCAAAGCAAGACAATCAATCGCACGGTGAGAGCCTACAGACATATAATGGAACAAAGAATTCATGAAATGATACTTATGCTCACTACATGCCAGGCACTCTGACGGCTTCTATCAATGAGAAAAAAAATGCACTGCTCCATGACTCGCTAAACTGATTTATGACCACAATGGTCCAACATTAGCAGTTTGAAATCATTGCCTTATAGATAACCAAGGGCACAGTGCTCTGCGTTCTGTGGACAATCAATGAAAAAAAAGAAATGAGTAACTAGAAGCAAGGCCCTGAATTGCAAAAGCATTTTCCTAACAGCAACAACAGAGGCTAAACTTCTGAACTCATTATCTGAACTATGATGGCTTATGATAGAAATTGATAGAGGCACTTTACTGCTTTTATCTGAGTACAGATAATACAGCAGACAAGTGGATAGAGCCATCCATGTTAAGATTTACAATCCACAACAATAATTTATGTTCTATCCACTGTAACCCACTTAAATTCTAATTGCAAGGTCTGTATCTTTATACAAAACATACTTTTTTTTAAGAATTATTTAATTTTATTTATCTTTTTTTAAAATTTGCTATAGGGCACATGTGCTTACAAGAGACAGAGAGTGAGAGAATGAGTGAGAAAGCAGCCACCAGGTCTGGGACTTGAACCAAGGTCAGCCATGTGGGAGTCCAGTACTTTAATCACCTTGGTGCCTGCTGGCCCCACAAAACATACTTATAATTAAAGTCTGTAAATTAAAATTAATTGATAATCTTTTTAGACAGAATTATAAGTCAACATTCTTTTAAAAATTAGTAAAATTTAAGTGATCAGGACCAAGCAAGAAGTTAACAATTCTATAAGTACTTTGGCTCAAATCATGAGAGAATTCTAAGAAATTTCCCTCTGCAGGATGGCTCATTTGCAGTTAAGGCTTTTTTAAAGAACTCTTCCATTCTGCGGGCCAGCAGGTAGCATGATGGTTGAGGTGCTGGAGGACTCCCACATGGCTGACTGCAGTCAGTCCTGAACCAGGCAGCTCGCTTTCTCACTTTCCCTCTCTCTCTGTCTCTATCAGGTGAGTGCACATGCCCTGTAGCAAATTTATAAAAATAATAATAAATAAAATTAAAAATAAATTCTAAAAAAATATAGAATTCTTCTATTCTGGAAGATTAAGTATATTTTCAGAATATTCATTCCCTTCTTGAAATAATTTCTTTAATCTTGGATTCTGCAAAATGTCAGGACATAGAACAGTCTAATGTTAAAATTACATGAACAACTCACTGACTTTATCACAAACCTAATGATTTTGAATCTTATAAATCACGTTATCTATACTGACTGACCATTAACTTTGTACTTCTTTTGTTCTTTGCACTGGCCATTCTTATCATACACGCACAGTATCACTGAAGATATGTATCGCCATAATTTGTTGTATCATTATATATGGAATTGTATAAGAGTTTTTTTTAAATATCACATGGTTTAACTGTTTAAAGACCCTGAGGACAGAGAATTGGGCAAAACAGTCCTATAATGGCCCATCTGAAAAATTTTGACTTCATAAAATTTCAGCGACTCAAAAAATCTGGCACAGGTCATAGCATCAAGAAAGGAACTAGAAGAGACCTTTTAAGAAATTCAATTGAACTCTCTGCCCAAGTTTAATCTCTACAGTGAGGTGCAACTGTGTGTCAACACACCCCAGTGTAGGGCTCTGGATGTCAGAGTTCTTTACTTGCCTCTCCTAATAAGCTGTCATAGTTTACCAACAATATGATGCCATCCTTCAAGTTTTCCAATTTATTTAGTTTTTGTCCCAATCTTATGAACCACCCTAAATAATACGCTTCAAATGAAAATTAGTCCTTTGAACAATGTTTTTCAAAGTAAGGGGTGTGAATAATTAATGCATTAAGAAATCACATTTTAAAAAATTGAAATAGGGTAGAAAAATCAGAATACATACTATATAATAAGGATTATATAGTATAGATTTTGTGAAATTTGTTTCAGATATATGAACTGGACTTCAAGGTAAAATGCACTTACAATGTTTGCATCAAAACTCTGAAAGACACCACTCTGGAGTGTTACAGTAAGATAAGAAAGATCAAACTTCTCCCATTAATAGCAACATACAAGATGCTGTATTAAACCATAACCATCAGGTGCTGGAAGAAATTAAGGGTCTATCTACCAAGTACTGAAAAATTTATTTTTAGAAGAAGCAGTCAAAGTGAGTGGTTTAAACAACACATACAAAGTGAGCTGGGACCTGATTCCAATGGAAGTTACAACAGAGTCCCCATACCCTATGAAGAACTCTCAACCCCATAACTGGGCACAGGCCCAGCATACTCAGAGGGATGCCATGAGCGCCCACCGCCAACATCTCATGAGAGAAAATCACCTATCTCTTTCCTCCTGACAGTTCAGAACCATGTGATAACCACACAGTTTAAAAGAAAAACCTTTTGTTCTAACCACGATTTTATATTTTCTCTGATGAAATCAAATGATAGGGAAACATTCCTTTTCATAAAGACTTCAGGAAGTTCAAGGAAAAAAACAGAAGTAACACAGGACTTAATTTCGATGCAAAGAAACTTGAAATCCAGACATGGTGGATAAAATTTTTCCATAATGAGGATTTTGCATGATCTTTTTAAAAGACTGCTCATGATATCATAACAGCCCAGGAAGGAAGGTATTATCACCCTATTTTAAAGCAACGTTAACAGACTCAGGGAGAGTAACCTTTCCAAAGTCGTGCAGTTTTAAATGTAATGGTTTGTTTTATTATTTTTTTAAAATACTAAAATTGTCCCAAACCATCAGTAGGCCTTGACAATTGTATGTAGTCAGCAGCTGACCATCCGCTCAAGAATGGACAACAAATATGTAACAAGTATGTAATTCCAGGTTAATCTCCAATTAGTAACTAATCTTTGGGCAAAAAGATAGATTAATTTCCAGAAAACAAAATATGCCTTATTCCAAAGCCAACGATAGAGAACCTAGTGTCAACATCCTGTAAGTCGAGCGTGTAAAGACTACTCCTTCATATGAACCCACCAAAGGCAGTGTCTGAAATACTCCTTTACTTGCAGGGGAAGGGCAGGGAGCGAGGGACAGGGAGCCGGGTGCATTTGGAGTTTGGATACTGGCCGTAAGCACTGACGGAGGTGCCATTCAGTGTGCAGTTGCACCTGCTAAGTTTAGAGGAGGCCCTGCCCCCGGCAGCAGGTCTGGAGCGAGGTCGCACCGACATCGGCCCAGCAGCCACACCTGAGAGAGCCCAGGTGAGCGCCTCCCCGCGCCCGAATCCGGTCGCCCTCCCGGGACGCGGGCGCTTCCTAGCTCCCGGAGCCGCCCAGCCTGGCCCGCGGCCTGCCCGGGAGCCCCGCGTCTCCGCTCGCCCGCGCTCACCTCCTCGCTGTGCGTGGACGGACACTTCTTCCGCAGGCGGCCCCAGTTGAGCAGGTTCCCGGTCTGCAGGTGCAGG